GAACGGCGAACACGTGCGTGCGACGGCAGGGCGGCTCAATCGTGGACGTAACGTTCGCGAGCCCAACCTTAGCGCGCCGTGTCCAGGGATGGCGAGTGCTGGAGGACGTGGAGACTCTCTCGGACCATCTATACATCCGATTGGAGGTCTCCACCCATCCGGCGGTGCCGCCAGGCCCCAGGCGAACCTCGGGAGAGGATAGTCCGAGGTGGCAGCTAAAGCGCCTCAAGGCAGAGGTGCTGAAGGAGGCCGTGGAAGTAGCTGCGTGGCTGCCCCATAACACTGGGGGAATCGAGGACTCGGTGGAGAGGCTGACAGAGCTGATGACACGGGCCTGTGACGTGTCTATGCCTCGCTCAAGGCGCTGCCCATCTAGGCGCCAGGTGTACTGGTGGTCGGCGGCGATTGTGCGATTGCGCGAGGAGTGTGTGGCCGTCAGACGCCGGTACATCCGCTGTCGCAGGAGGCGATTTAGGAGCCGCAACGCAGGAGACAGAGAAAGGCACATGGCTGAGGAAGACCGATTATATGCCGAGTATGTGGCCGCAAAAACCAGCTTGCAGGTGGCAATAACTGAGTCGCAGACCACGGCCAGGGAGCGGATGCTGGATGAGCTCAACCGCGATCCCTGGGGGACGCCCTACAGGACGGTGCGTAACAAGCTCCGTCCTTGGGCCCCCCCACTTACGCAGTCTCTCCAGCCCAGCGTAGTCCGGGAAGTGGTCACGACTCTGTTTCCCCACGGTGCGCAGGCAGAACATCAGCCGCCACCGATGGCCCCGCGGGAAACAAGGGAGGAGGAAAGTGAAGTCCCGGAAGTCACTGAAGAGGAGGTGGAAAGTGCCGTAGCTCGTCTCCGGGAAAAGAGAGTGGCCCCCGGCCTAGATGGTATACCAGGGCGAATATGGGTGCTGGCCATGGAGTCCCTGGAGTTTGAGAGTTCGAGGACTATTTACTGCCTGTCTGGCTCAAGCCATAATTCCACAGCGGTGGAAGACAGGCAGACTAGTCCTCCTCAAAAAGGAGGGGCGGCCCGCGGAATCTCCGTCTGCATACCGCCCCATCGTCCTCCTTGACGAAGTGGCCAAGCTCTTTGAGCGCGTAGTCGCCAAGCGCTTGGTGGCACACCTAGAGCGGGCGGGACCTAACCTCTCCGACGTCCAGTTTGGTTTTCGCGGTGGTCGTTCCACCGTGGATGCCATTCTGCGCGTCCGGTCCCAGGCGCAGGAAGCAGTATCCCGGGGTGACGTTGTTGTCGCGGTGTCGTTGGACATCGCCAACGCGTTTAACACGTTGCCTTGGAGTTGCATAAGGGAGGCACTCCGCTATCATGGGGTGCCGACCTACCTCCGACGCGTCGTTGGGGCCTACCTGTCGGGGAGGTGGGTGAAGTTCCCCGGTCAAAACGGCTGGGAAATCCGGGAGGTGGTATGCGGTGTTCCGCAGGGGTCGGTACTTGGGCCACTCCTGTGGAACATTGGATATGACTGGGTGCTTCGGGGTACCGGTCTAAGGGGAGTGGAGGTGACCTGCTACGCGGACGACACGCTGGTAACAGCTCGGCAGCGAACCTATAGCGAAGCAGCTATGCTGGCTACAGCAGGAGTAGGTTTTGTCGTTGGCAGAATTAGGCGGTTAGGTCTTGAGGTTGCCCTCGGAAAATCGGAGGCGATATGCTTCCATGGTCCTCGTAGGGCACCTCCGTCGGACGCGCACATCGTCGTGGGGGGAGTCCGCATCGGCGTTACGAGCACGATGAAGTACCTAGGACTCGTGCTCGACAGCCGGTGGGACTTCCGGGCGCACTTTGACGCCCTGGTGCCGCGACTGTTGAAGGAGGCGGCGGCATTATCCAGGCTCTTGCCAAATGTAGGAGGACCGAGCGCGGTAACAAGGCGGCTCTACACAAGTGTCGTGCGCTCGATGGCCATGTACGGTGCCCCAGTGTGGGCGGATGCCCTGACACGCGATAACATCGCTCTGCTGCGGAGGGCGCAGAGAGTGATGGCGATAAGGGTAATCAGGGGGTACCGTACCATCTCAGGAGAGGTAGCGTGTATATTGGCAGGAGTACTGCCGTGGGACTTGGATGCGCGTTCCTTGGCGTTGATATATCATCGGCGCCGAGGCCTAGCGTCCAGGGACCCAAGCATAACGCACAGTCAGCAGGTCGAAGACGAGCAAGAGCGGGTAGCCGCAGTAGAAGAGTGGCGGTCCAGGCTGGAGCACCCTTGCGCTGGCCGATGGACCATCGAGGCAGTTCGCCCCAATCTCGCACAGTGGCTGGGCAGGCGGCACGGCGTCCTAACCTTCCGTGCCACGCAGATCCTCTCGGGGCATGGTTGCTTTGGGGGATATCTGTGTCGGGTCGCCAGGAGGGAGCCCTCTCCTCGCTGCCACCACTGTGACGACTGTCCCGATGAGTCGGCCCAGCATACGCTGGAGGTGTGCCCAGCATGGGCGACGGAGCGCGAGGCGCTCCAAAGTGTCGTGGGGCCGGACCTGACGCTGATGGCCGTGATCTCTGCCATGGCCGGAAGCGAAAGGTCCTGGGGTGCCGTCCTGTCCTTCTGCGAGGACGTGATGTCGCAGAAGGAGGCGGCGGAGAGGGTGAGAGAGGCCAACGCCGAGCTCGCCATCCGCCGCAAAAGGACCGGGCGCCGGAGAGCGGCGCACGATCGCCGCCTCCCCCCCTAGCACGAGCCAGAGGGCGGTCGGCTTGGGGAAGCTGATCGTCCACTGATCTGGCCCGAGTAGGCGCGCGCGGAGTCGTCCGCGCGCCACTCGAAGAGGCCGTCCGGGGTTAATCCCCCGTGATATGGAGGTGGGCCTTTAGAGGCTCTCGCCGCTGGGGTTTACAGAAGAATCTGGATGCCTGTGACCCCAGCCTTGTGGCGACAAAGCGGCCTTCGTCAGGTTTTTAGTGGGTAGGCTGTCGCGCGTTTTCCATCTTTGCGCGGCAGGAGCCCCACATAACCCGTTCCGCCTATCCCCAGGCGGACGGGTACCCGGGAACAGGGTTTTCCTGACGTTAAAAAAAAAAAAAAAAAAAAAAAAAAAAAAAAAAAAAAAAAAAAGGTTAGGTTAGGTTAGGTTAGGTTAGGTTAGGTTATCGGGAGGCGGCAGTGTTGGCGACGGCAGGAGTCGCTCAGGTGGTTGCGAGAATTAGGCGGCTTGGATTGGAAGTCGCGTTGGAAAAGTCCGAGGCCATTCTTTTCTATGGTCCTCGGAGGGCTCCCCCGCGGGACGCTAACATCGTAGTCGGCGGTACGCGCATCGAGCTGAAGGGTGCGATGACATATTTAGGTCTCGTGCTCGACAGCCGGTGGAGCTTTGGTGCCCATTTCACCGCACTCGTCCCGCGGGTGATGAAGGTGGCGGCCGCCCTCGGGAGGCTATTGCCAAACGTGGGCGGGCCTAGCGCCTCGTGTCGGCGGCTCTATTGTGGGGTCGTCAGGTTGGTGGCCATGTACGGTGCCCCAGTGTGGGCGGATGCCCTGGGTCGCGAAAACATCGCCCTGCTGCGACGAGCGCAGAGGGTGATGGCGATCAGGGTGATCAGGGGGTACCGTACCATTTCCGTCGAGGCGGCGTGTGTGCTGGCTGGAGTCCTACCCTGGGACCTGGATGCACATTCCTTGGCGTCGATCTATTGTCGGCGTCGAGGCCCTGCGTCCAGGGACCTTAGTCCAGCGCCACGCGGAGGAGGTGAGCGGGAGGCCGCTATTGAGGAGTGGAGGTCCAGGCTGGAGCGCCCTTGCGCTGGCCGACGGACCGTCGAGGCAGTTCGCCCCATTCTCGCGCAGTGGTTTGGCAGGCGACATGGCGTCCTAACCTTCCGCGCCACGCAGATCCTCTCGGGGCATGGTTGCTTCGGGGGGTACCTGTGTCGGGTCGCCGGGAGGGAGCCCTCTCCTCGCTGCCACCACTGCGACGACTGCCCGGACGAGTCGGCCCAGCATACGCTGGAGGTGTGCCCGGCCTGGGAGACGGAGCGCGAGGCGCTCAGAAGTGTTGTGGGGGCGGACCTGACGCTGCCGGCCGTGATTTCCGCCATGGCTGAAAGCGAAAGGTCCTGGGGTGCCGTCCTGTCCTTCTGTGAGGATGTGATGTCGCAGAAGGAGGCGGCGGAGAGGGCGAGAGAGGCCAACGCCGAGCTCGCCATCCGCCGCAGGAGGACCGGGCGCCGGAGAGCGGCGCACGATCGCCGCCTCCCCCCCTAACACTGGCCAGAGGGCGGTAGACTTGGGGAAGTTTGCCGCCTAATCACCTGGCCCGAGTAGGCGCGCGCGGTGTCCCCCGCGCGCTGCTCTAGATGGTGGTCGTCGAGGGTGTTGCTCCCACCCTCCGACACCGAGACGTGCCGATGGGCAATCGCCGTCGGGGTTCGCGGAGGAGTCTCCGGTTCCCGTGGCCCCGACCTTGAGGCGACTGAGGTGGACACCGTCAGGTTTTAGTGGGTAGGCTGCCGCGCGTTTACCATCTTTGCGCGGCAGGAGCCCCACATAACCCGTCGTTCTTCCCCAGGCGGCGGGTACCCGGCAACAGGGTTTCCTGACGATAAAAAAAAAAAAAAAAAAAAAAAAAAAAAAGGTTAGGTTAGGTTAGGTTAGGTTAGGTTAGGTTTTTTTTTTTTTTTTTTTTTTTTAAATACAATTCTCCTCTGACAAAAATCAGAGTCTTTGTTATTACTAGTTTCCTTATACTATAGTACATTTTTTGTCGGCAATTTTTCGAGTTTACATTTGGTTTATTACATCACTTTCTATACTTAATTCTATGCTATTTTACATTATTTCTTATGTTTATTATATCTTAGGTAAGTTATATTTACAATTTGTTATATATTTTACTATTTTAATTATTATGGCTATTGTGTTTGTGGCTATTGCTGTTATAACTATTGTTTTTACATGTTCAGGTTTTATGACACTGTGGTCTCGTACTCTTCTGTATTACATTTTTTGCGACATGGGGACGCTAGAAAAGTCTAGCGATCATGATGCTCGGATCTAATGAATAAAGGCACATTTTTTATATATATAATTTCCTTTTTTTTTTTTTTTTTTTTTTTTTTTTTTTTTTTTTTTTATGTGCTATGCCTTTTATTAACAATTTTTGTAATGTATGTGCAGAAGGCTATGAAGATCTTTTGGTGTTGTTTGTGCATGAGGAGGAGGTGTAGATTTTCTATTTTTACATCAATTCTTGTCTGGCTTTCCAGGTCACAGCGCGCCATGCTGAATCTTGGGCATTGTGTAAGAAGGTGGAGTATGGTTTCTTCAACGCCAGGGTCACATTGACAGCCTGGGTTGGCAATACATTTAAACCTTGCCAAGTATTCAGCATAGCCGCCGTGACCTGTTAATGCTTGAGTTATTGCTGGATTAAGTTTCGTTTTCTTTATGAATTTATATGCTATTTGTATACTAGGTAGGAAAATTTTTGTGATTTTGCCTTTATCGCTACTTTTATACATTTCATCCCATTTGGATATAGTTTCAGAACGGATTGCTCGTTTTAGGGAGGAGATAGGGAAGGAATCGTATATTGGGGCTGTTTTTCTATTTTGTGCTGCTATTTTGGCTAGTTGGTCTGCTTTTTCGTTCCCTACTATCCCCACGTGCGCTCTTACCCAGAAAAATCTGATTTTTTTGTCAGTCTTCGTTAAGTCATGTATGTTTGTTTTTATAGGGAGCGCTAGTGGGTGAGTTGTATCGTGTCTACCAAGAAGGTCAAGTGATGACCTTGAGTCGCTAAAGATGTTTATTTTATTTTCTCGAGATCTTATTGCAATCACAGTGGCTTGGTGGAGCGCGTACATTTCGGCCTGAAACACAGAGCAGAAAGGCGCTAGGGTATATTTTCTGCTCAATGTTTCCTGCCCGTCCTTCCAGCAGGACAATGCCGCGCCCACCCCGTCACTGATCTTACTTCCGTCCGTGAAGATGCACAGGCCGTTTATACTGTGCTCCTCCATGGTTTCCGGTTTAAGATCTTCGAGACGGGTGTATGTAATTGACACTTCTTGCGCTGGGTGGGGTAATTTGTGGTAGGGTATCTTTATTTCCACCTCTCTGCCCTTTAATAGGGCCAGCGGTTTACCCCTTTTCGCTTCATAGAGCCTGGCCGCTTCTTCTGCTCTTAGTTCGAGAGGCAGAAGACCTGCAAGTGCCAGGGCTGCCTCGAAGGAGACGGTCCTGTATGACTTGCAGATTTTCTGCGCAAATCCTCTCTGTAGGTTATGAAGCTCTTTTTTGTTTATCCATTTCCCGGCGTCCTTGGCCCAAACGCTACTGGCGTACAATATTATAGGCTCAGCCACCGCCGTGTAGATAGTCCTGACGATCTCGGAATTCAAACCCCATGTTAATTTTGCAGCTCTTGCCAATGGTTTGTATATGTTTGCGACTTTTCTAATTGTATTTCTAATATGTTCATTAAATGTCAGTTTGTTATCTATTGTTACTCCTAAAATTTTGATTTTTTCAACTAATTCGATTGGCTTCCCGCCCATGTGTATAATTGGAGTGTCAAATTTTAATTTTCTTGTTATAATCATCGCTTGGGTTTTATGCGGTGCGAATTTAAGTTTATTTTTGACACCCCATTCATACACATGGTCGAGAACCTCTCTTGCTTTCTGTTCTATTGTTTTGGGTTGTTTATCCGAGATCATCACGACTATATCATCCGCGAAAGCCTGGACATGTACGCCATATTTTTCCACTTCAGTTAGGAGTGGGTCTAACAGGATATTCCAGAAAGTGGGGCCCGCTATAGATCCCTGTACACATCCCTTAGTTGTCTGTCTTACATGCTTTTCACCGGCGTATCGCACCTCCACTGTGCGGTCGGTGAGGTAGCTACCTACAAGTTTGAGTAAGTTTGGGGGACATTTCTTTTTTATCAACCCGCTTTTTATGGACGGCCACCATGCACTATCGAAGGCTCCCTCTATATCGAGGGATATGACTGCTACAATATTTTTGTCTGTTATATCCGCTCGGATATGATTTACCATATCATAGAGGGAGTCTTCAGTGCTTCTCTGTGGCATGAATCCGTATTGACGGGTGTTGAGTATAGGCAGCATATGCCATCTGATTCTGCGAACCATCGCCTTTTCCAGCATTTTGCCAAGCAGCGGTAGTAATCCTATTGGTCGAAATGCCTTAGGATTGGTGTAATCACCTTTCCCGGGCTTCCGTAGGATCACTACCGTTGCCTTTTTCCAATCTGCTGGGAAATGCGATAGTTCTAAGCATTTATTAGCTATTTCCAGAAATATTTCTGGATCTGCTTCGAATGCTTTTAGGCAGATGTCCGCTGTTAAGCCGTCCCCTCCAGGAGCCTTTTTTGGGTTAAAGCTGTTTACGACACTTTTTATTTCGCTTGTTGTAAAAGGTGGATCGTCTTCGGCTCCTGTTTCGGTACCGGTAGCAATGGCTCTGATTTGTCTCTGTGACGGTGTGTCGTCCTCGGGGTTGTCTTGCGGAAAAAAGGTTTCGGCCAGAAGTTCGACGGATTCTGCAGGAGACAGCATCGAATCATTTCTCATTAGCGTCTGGTCTTCATGGTTCACCGTCGTCCTTCTCAGGACACGGTATATACCATCCCAAATGCTCTCGCGATCCTGTTTTCCGCAGAACTCCTTCCAGCTTCTGATCTGTTCCTTTTCCGCAGTAGCCTCATAATTGTGTTTGGCTTCGAGGTATGTTCCTACGACGTACTCACGTCGGGAGGGGGCCGAGCAGGATATCCTTCGCTTCTTTGTCGTCATGTTCCTTTTTAATTTCTCTAATTCTTGTGTCCACCAGGGTATTTTTATCCTATTGTTTGTTTTCTTCTTTGGTATGTATTCTAAACTTGTTGATTTTATTTGCTCTATGTATGATTTTACTGTTGATTCTAATTCAGATATATTATTTACTTTTGATATTGCTATTTTATTTAGTTTATTATCTTCAAATTTTGTTTTTAGTTTATTTATAAATTCAGACCAATCGGTGTTTTTTGTATTAAAAATCCTGGTGGACCCAAGGGGAACTTTGGGTTGATTGTTGCCTATATTTATATCGAATAATATCGCGTTATGGTCTGAGCTTATGATACCCTGGTCGACTCTCCATCCAGAGATTTTCTCTTGGAGTCCCTCTGAGCTTGCAGTTATATCGACGCAGCTCTTGTATTCCCGGCCGCCTCTTATGGTGTAGAATGTCGGGAGATTCCCTTCATTCAGCACGCTCAGGACCATCTCGCCGATAGCCCCCAACATTGCCTCACCTCTATGATTGGTGGTTTCACTTCCCCACCAGGTGTTCCAGGCGTTCACGTCACCACCAATGAAGAGATGCCCTTTGGCTTGGTCTTTAATTTTTCTTATCCAGTCCAAGTATGGCTCTATCGGGAGGCTATCTTCGAAGTAGACCGACAATGCTGTGATTGTCCATGCGCCCACACTCAGTTCCGCCACGGCGACGTTCTCTGATATCAGTTTGGGATTGCAATTTATTTGCAATCCCTCGCCGAATATCAGGATCGCCGCTTTTACCGGCTTTGTCCTGTTTTGGGTACATTGGACAATCCTACATCCTCTGGTCGCCGCCATTTCTCCGGTTGATCCAACGTAGGGTTCTTGAACCAGTGCTATTTTTATCCTCCTTTTATTGCACTCCAGCATAAGCTCATAGGTGGCCAGTTTGTTCCTTTGTAGGTTCACTTGGATCACCTTGAGCTTGCTCTGTGCTGGATTGCCCTGTGTCGATTTGGTTGCTGTTGGTTCCTGTAGCTTGCCCTTAGCAATACGCCACACTGGATCTGGCTATTTCATCCCATTTTTTACGCACCGGACAACAGCTGTCAAAGCTATTGTGGTGTATGTCCTGCTGGTTGCTTGCTTGGCAATTTTTACATGCTGGTTTTTTACCCTCTTCTCTATTCGGGCAATCAACTCTTAAGTGGGGCCCGGCGCAGTGGCTGCACAGATCGACTTCTTCTGTGCACCACTTCTTGCCATGGCCGAAACTCAGGCAGCGAGAGCATTGCACCAGTGGGGACAGGTCGAAGACTGGCACCCTCTGCATCTGCAAGTACAGTTTCCCTGCCTCTGTGGCCGCTTTCCACACTTTAGGCGAAACTTCCAATACTATGTGAGCTTGCAGGGGGTTCCTAGCCTTCCTCCTGTGCCTCACTTTTGCTCTAAACTCTTCCGGTTTTATGTTTTGGAATAGTGTTGCATTTTGGGACTTTATTGTGTCTACGATGTCCTCATCTTTGTTATAGCTTAGTACATTCCTCATTATAATGAGAGGGTCTTTATTGAGTTTCTCTTCCACTATGAATTCTTTGTCTTTTAGGTTGTTTCTTATTTTCTCTGCGTCTTCTTTGCTTTTGGTGCTGATTATTACCCTTTGGTCTTTTATCTTACGTACTTTGTCTATTTTTATTCCTGTGTCTTTGGGGTTTATTGCTTTCCTTACTTCTTCAATGACATCGGTACTTGTATTTGTTGTGTTTTTTGTTCCAATAGCGAAATTGTAAGTCTGTCTGTCTGTTGTGTTTGTTTTTGGTTTTTGTACTGTACTTGTTACTACTTCTGCATATGATTTTTCTAAGTTTATACTTTGTTCTATTTTGTTTTGCATCTGTGTATTACTTTCTATTATTTGCTTTTGTGTTTTTTCCATCTCTTCTGTTAGTTTGTCTGTCATAGTTTTTATTGCATTTTCAGTTTTTGTTTGTAATTCTTGTTCCATTCTTCTGATGCCATTGATTATTATTTGCATGTTCATGTCTTGTGCCTCTAACATTCCCAGCAGTTTTTGGGCTATTCGGAGTATGTTTTCTTTGCAGGATGTCTTCATGTTCCCAGCTTCTTTGCACGATTCAAATAGTTCTTCCACTAGTTTCCTTGCTTCTGTTACGATGCCGCTGTCTTGTTTTTGTCCTTCCATTTTGGTGTCACTTGTTATTATAGTGTTTCCACTTTGTCTCTTTTTTGTAGCGATTTGGGATGCCTTTGGTTTCTCTATTTTCTTAGACATGGTTGTTTTTATATATATGTACTATAGTTCTAGGTTTATTTAATTTATTGAAATAATATATTAAAAATTAATATATTAAATTATGAGTATCTAGTCAATTATCTAGTCACGATTTAAAATAATATTGCGTTTTATTTCCGAGTGTATATTGCTCGGTGGTCTATATTTTTAATTTTTATTATTATATAATAACGTTAATATTCTTATAATATCGAGTGTATATAGCTCGTTATATGTCTTTTGCGGTGTATAGGTCCGCAGTCAATAAAATTCAAAAAGTCAGCTTTTTTGTTAGGGGGGGGGGGGTAGACGGGGGGGAGCTAGATCAAATTTAATGTGCGGGGTTTGTGGAGTGGGCCGAGACCTTTAAAATGAGCCCAAACTCGGGGTCCGTAGGTCAGTTTTTGACAGGGTTGGGCAAAAGTTTAGGTTTTTGGGGTTTAACTGGGCTGTTTTTGGGAATTTTGAACTTTTTATTTTTATATAAGGTTTGTTGTCAGTTTGTCTGTGATATATATTTTTTTGGCCGAAATCGTAGGAGTGGGATTTTTTTAAAGGGGGTTTTTTGGGTTTTATTTAAAATGGGGGTTGGATAAAAATTTTGTTCTAGGGGTCCTGGAAGGGGTTTTCAAATACCTGTCGCCCGACACCAATTTCGTCAAAATCGGTTTAATAGTTTAGGAGTTATTTAGGTTTTAAGTAGAGGGGGGGTGGTGGGCGTGGTCGAGGGGGGGGGGGAGGTCTCGTGGGTAGCACTTGGGGGTGTTGGGGGTGTTGGGGGTCTTTCGGGGGGTGGGGGGTGATACCAAATACCCAAGAGTGGGCAAGCTAGGGTGGACAGGGACGGAGTTATAAGAATCCCAACTTTGGGGGGGGGGGGTACAAAAGACAAAAATTTTTCTAAGTCCCTGTCCCTATAGTGCAGTGGTTGTATTCTTATAGTCACGAATTCAATTTTATTTAATTATAACAAAGTTCTATGTTAATACCCCTATGGCTTAGTGGTGAAATCTAAAATTTTCTAAGTTCGATTTAAATGTTACAAAGTTCTATGTTTATAGTGTTACAAGGTTCTATGTCATTACTCCTATGGTTTAGTGGTGAAGTCTAAATTTTTTCTAAGTTCGATTTAAATGTTACAAAGTTCTATGTTTATTAGTGTTACAAGGTTCTATGTTATTGTTGCTTATGGCTCAGTGATTAAATTTAGAGAAGTCTTGGGTTTGATATATTTGATTATTATAAGGTTCTATGTGGGGTCCGGGTATGTAAGGGGTGAGGGTGATATAGGCAAGGGGGGGGGGAGGGGAATGTGGCGTAATACGCGGTGTAGTCGGTAAGTCTGAGGGGTGCGGGGTATGAGTCGAAGGGGTGAAAGGGGGAAATGGCTTGAAGGGGTGCGGGGTATGAGTCGCAGGGGTGAGGGGATCTGTTGTGGATAATTTTCTAAGTGAAATCCCTTATGGGTCAGTGGTTGTAAGCTGTTGTTACAGGTTCGATTTATGTAGGTCAAACACGACTTTAAGACTTTGCAATAAAGTCCAAGTTATTATAGATAAGTTCCGTAAAATTAGGAAGTTAAATATTTAATTTAATAAAAAATATACTTTTCTATGGTCTTATATGTATGAACCTAAGGTTCAAGTTATCTTAAAAATACTTAATCTAAAGTCCAGCTCTAACTTAACTAATTTGTCTTTGACCAATGGAGCAATCTACAGCCAATGGGAACAATCTACAAATCTATATGCAATTTTGTTCCACCAATCCTAGCTTTATACACTTTTTGGTCTCCACCCAGCATATACAATGAACAAAATTTGTCCAACTTGTCTGTTTGTTGAATATATTAGTATTAATTTTATATATGTAAAAAATTTTTTATTAGATTTTGATTTCGAATAGTTGGTTGGTATCAATTTTGAAGTCCCAATATGATTTTAATTTTAATAAATTTTGAAGAAATTTTTAATTTTTAAATATTTTTATTTGCAAGCGGAGCCGGGAGGCAAGTACTCTATGTATATCAACACTTTTAGCTCCGCCCGGCTCCGTATAGTAAAAATCGGTTGAACAAAATTTGTTCGTGGAGAATTTTTATCAATATTTTTACTAAGTTAAATTAATTTATTGAAATTTGGAATTTTTATTTATATTCTATGTTATCTAAGTGCTAATTTTAACTATTAGTTAATTTTATATTATTCGAAAAACTTTAAATTTTGACGGTTTATTTTATATTTTAATAGGAAGCAAACCCGTAGTGTGTAATATGTATTAAAGTTAATGTAAAATTTTTACTTTAAATATTTTAATATACACTTTTTACCTTATGATCTAGATTGCTTAATATCTTAAAAACTACTGAACGGATTTTTTTGCGGTTTTCACTATAAAAAACTAGGAAAGTTGCTCTTCACTTTTCAATAAATTTTTACAGGGGTCGTCACTGAAGAAAATTTTTAATCTTCCTCCGAAGTTTGTCAATTTTTTACGAAATTTTAAAAGGTCTATATCTTTGTCACTATTTTAGTTACGGCTATGCACGATACCTTTCTGTGATCGGCGCGTCCTGCTCTTTCCAGTAGTGGTGGTTGAAAGTCTCTGTCTCTCTCCGTTTGGGAAAGAGAGAATCCGGCAAACTTGTTTTTTTGAACTTTTTGACCACTTCCCGGTGTCCAAAAATTCCGGGAGTGGTGTCGTTGGATAGGTCTTAGAGAGCACTTTTAAACGCACAAATAAATTTGGTACGTTGTCGATCTAGATCGAGCGGCGCACGCGAAAACAGTTTAAAAATGTCTAAGTTTATCACTTTTTGCCAAATTTTGGCTAATTCCGTGCACAATTTTTGTCACTATTGTTATATATTTACACGTTGACACTTAATACACTATATTTCACAGTTTTTAGCAAATTTTCAGTCTTTTTTCTATTATTTAGCGATTTTTAAAGTTTTAAACGCCGTTTCTTCGACCGGAGCACTGTTTCCGACGCGGTGAGCGTGTCCGTTCGCTCCCGGTGGTCGAGCGGGACTCGGTTAGGTTAGGTTAGGTTAGGTTAGGTTAGGTTAGGTTAGGTTAGGTTAGGTTAGGTTAGGTTAGGTTAGGTTAGGTTAGGTTAGGTTAGGTTGAGGTTAGGTTAGGTTGAAAAAACTTAGTTTGGCTTACCTTTCTGCGATTGTTTTGGATATTCTCGATTGTTTTACGTTTGTTTATGCTTACCGGATTTGATTGATGCACACCTGATTTGTATTTTGGCTTGGATTTATGGTTTTTTGATTTTTGCTTGTGATTTGGATTCTGTTGATATTGTGTGTGTTTTTGTTTGTGTTTGGGGGTTTTGGGGTGTCTGAGTGATGGACTCGGACACGTCCGAGGGTGCGGAGACCGACTCGTCCGTGGGGCGAAAGCGGACCCACCCATTACCGCCTCTGGTTAGTTCCTCCGGGTCTGACACAGAGACGGAAATGACGGTTGGCGCCAGAATAGTTAAGGCGCGTAAGGAGGTGTCCCAGAAGGGCGCTGCTAAGGTTGGGGGTTCGGGCGTTGCTCGCGCACGCCGAGACCTGAAAAAATTGGAGGAGGAGGACCGCGAAATAGAATTTGAGAGGCGTCTCAATCAGCGGACCTACCGCAAGACTGGCACTCCGGTGCCAAGTGATTCCGAGGCGGCGGCTGAGGCCCCAGCCCGGAAAGACCCGGCTGAGCAGACGGCCGATGAACTTAGAGAGCTGGCTAGTAAGAGTGTGGCGGCAGTGCTGGAAGTGGCCCAGAAGTCGGGCAACTTAAAAGGCACGATGCAAAAAATGTTGAAGGAGTCTGCCGCCACACTACAAAAGGTGGTGGAAACACTAGCAGGGCGTACGGTGGCGGAGGAGGTTGCCACCCTCAAGAAGGATAATGCCCGCCTCCGCCGCGAGACGGAGGGACTTAAGGCGGAGTTGAAGGCCCACCGACGCGAATTTTGCGAGCTGCGAAAGGAGCTGTCGGCGTCCAAAGCCGGTCCCTCGGATACCTTCGCGGGGGATTGGCTGGAGGAGATAAGGGCCTCCATAGTCGCGTCGGTGGGGACTTTAATAGACGCGCGTTTCGCCGGGATTGAGGAGCGTCTTCTCCCGGCGAAGACAATGCGTCCCCCGCTTGCGGCGGACAGGCGTCGCGAGGCGGCTGCGCCGATGGCTCCCCCGAGACCTGCCCCGAGAACTTCACCCCCAAGGCAAGTGCCAGCGCCGGCTGCGGCTGTGGCCGACGGGGGCTCTGCAGTTCAGGGCAAAGGTAAGGGGAAAGGAAAGGGAAAGGGCAAGGCCACAGCGTCTGCGCGGCCACTTCCGCCTGCCCCTATAGTTGCCGCTCCTGCTCCTCCTCAGCCGGTGGCCGGGCCGAGTCGCCCCGCTAACTCGGAAGGGGATACCTGGGCCACTGTCGTGAGGAAGAGCAAGGGGAAGCCGAAGAAGGCGGCTCCTCCTGCCTCTGCGCCTGTGGTGGCGAAGGCTTCAAAGCCCCCCCAGGCTAAGCCTAAGGTCCCCGCACAACCGCGCACTGCCGCGGTCATCATAACGGTCCCGCAGGAGGCCGCCGCGAAGGGCGTCTCCTACGCGCGGGTCCTGGAGAGGGCCCAGCAGAGCGTGGACCTGCGGGAGTTGGGGATCACCGGGGGGCTTACCGTGAGGGTGGCGGCGACAGGGGCGAGGCTCCTTGAGCTCCCTTCCTCCGCTGCGCCAGAGGTGGCGGACAGGCTGGCGGAGAAGCTCCGCCAGGTCCTGGACGGGCTCGCGACCGTCGCGCGTCCCGCTAAGACGGCCGATCTCCGGGTGGACGGGCTCGATGATTCGGCCACAAAGGACAAGGTGGCTGCGGCGGTCGCAAGGGCGGCCAACTGCTCCGTGGCCAGCGTAAGGGTCGGGGAGATCCGCACGGGAAGGGGCGGCGTGGGCTCAGTCGTGGTGCGATGCCCCGCCACGTCGGCGAAGGTGGTGGTAGACTCCGGCAGGCTCCTCGTGG